CTTTCAAACAACACAAATAGTCAAGGCTTTTTGAGAGGAAGCTGTTCTTCAGTTCTTCCTTTGTGAAAGAGTTAGTAATATCCTAAGTGCTACTTGAGCCATCCTGCAAGTTTGTTAGTTCTTTTATTTATTTTTGAATGCTTATACTGTAACCCATTTCAATCAAAGCAGAGGTTTCTATCAGTCATGAGGCAAGTTAATTTGGAGGCACTCATATATAATCTTTTTGTCCAAGATTTTATAATCTTTGCAGTTACGCTAGGACTACTCAAGGAACTACTGTACTCATTGGCTATAAACACCTCATCAGCTTTTAGTAGTATGTAATTATAAAAACATTAGAGCTTTTGCATTTTTCAATGCAGTCTTTTACAAGAGTCTGGTTAACGTTTCTACAACATGAAGGTAAGGAAGGGGGGAGAAGTTATAGGTGAAGGAGTTGTGGTTTTAATCCTCAAAGAGAAAGAAAATTATCAAATTTCTGGGTTGATGTAATATATAGAAGGGGATTTGTTTCTGTTAAATATGAGAAGATAATGTAACCAAAGAGAGAACCATATGTGCACTATAACCATAGTGCAAAAGCTTGTCAGCTAATATATATATATATATTTATGCACCCATTACATACTTATACACAATTTTTTTCATCATTAAAACATATAAAAAATTCACTGGAGGGTAGTAATTCTTGGAAGTGGGCTGCAATTCAAGAAAATTTATGCCTAGATAATAAACCTATATACCAAATAAATATAAATAATACGATTATGCTTATATAAATAAATAACAATGAAGTGTTGCACGTTTCCATGAAAATTACGCTCTGGCCCAGTTTAGTCTGGATCAGAATTCTTTCTATGATATGTATCTTTCATGTTAATTTTTTTGACTAAAATAGAGATAGCTGCTGACTTTGTCCAATTCAAAATTTTCAGTTTTATTGGCCTTCCCACAACAGACTTGCAAGTAAATACAGGTACAGTAGTTCACGACTCACAACCATATGTTTAGCACAACGTTCAAAGTTACAACAGTACCAAAAAAAGGTGACCTATGACCTATGACTTACAGTCCTCCCACTGCCATAACATCCCTAGTCATGAGGTAAAGTTCATGCATTTATGGCAATTGCAGCATCCCGGGATCACGTGATTGCCATTTGAGACCTTCCCAGCCAGCTTCCAACAAGCAAAGTCAATGGAGGAAGTTATATTTGCTTAACGACCATGTGGTTAACTTAACAACAGCCGTGATTCACTCAATAACCATGGCAAAAAAGGATGGAAAACTGGGCACGATTCACTTATCAACCACTTAGGTTAGCAACAGAAATTCTGATCCCAATTGTGGTCATACATTGAGGACTATTTGTACCACTAAAATAAAGGGTACTTACTTATAGTAAATATGGACAGTTCTGTGCATAAAAAACATCATATGGAGGTGGATTGAAATTGGATGAGTAAGCATCAAGAAAGTCAGTTTGGTGATGTGGCAAGAGTGCTGGGCTAGAAACTGGGACATCATGAGTTCAAGTTCTCCCTTAGACAGCATGAAAGCTGGTCAGATGACTTGGGGCCTGTAGCTCTTCCAGTGTTTCTCAATCTTGACAATTTTAAGGCATGTGGACTTCAACTCCCAGAATTCCACAGCCAGCATTGCTGGCTGTGGAATTCTGGGAGTTGAAGTCCACATGCCTTAAAATTGTCAAGGTTGAGAAACATTGTATCAGACTTAACCTAAGCTTCCTCACAGGGTTGTAACTGTAGCAAGGTAGGAAGAAGAAACATTATCTGCTTTAGTTGACCAAAAATAAAGATAATATAGAAATCTAAATGATATATAAAATCATATTGTCAGCCTTTTTCTCTATCATATTTCTACTTGTTATCTTGTGACTGAACGGTTTTTCCAGCACCTATAAAGATATTGCAGATGTCTGACAAATAGTCCTGCTGCAGCTGAGTGTGGGGTTAATAATAATAATAAAGTTGGAAGGGAACTTGGAGGTCTTCTAGTCCAACTCCCTGCTCAGGCAGGAAACCCTATACCATTTCAGACAAATGGCTGTCCAGTCTCTTCTTAAAAACTTCCAGTGTTGGAGCATTCACAGTCCTTGAAGGCAGGTTGTTCCACTGATTAATTGTTCTAACTGTCAGGAAATTTCTCCTTAGTTCTAGGTTGCTTCTGTCTTTGGTTAGTTTCCATCCATTGCTTCTTGTCTTGCCTTCAGGTGCTTTGGAGAATAGCTTGACTTCCTCTAGATAACATCACCACCAGATGAATCTGTAGTTGGCTAACAAACTGTACTCAACAAATAGTACTCAACGGCACTACATCCACATGGAGAGAAGTAAGCAGTGGGGTACCACAAGGTTCCGTTTTAGGTTCAGTACTCTTCAATATCTTCATAAATAACTTAGATGAGGGAATTGAAGGGGAACTCATCAAATTTGCAGATGACACCAAACTGACAGGAGTAGCCAACACCCCAGAAGACAAACTCAGGATCCAAAAAGATCTTGACAAACTTGAACAATGGGCCATATCCAAATGAGTTTCAATGTGGAGAAAAGCAAAGTCTTACATTTAGATAGGAAAAACCAAAGGTACAAATACAGATTGGATGAGACCTGGCTTAAAAACTGTAACTGTGAGAGGGACCTTGGAGTCCTCATGGACGATCACTTGACTATGAGCCAGCAGTGTGCAGCAGCAACCAAAAACGCTAATACAATCCTGAGTTGTATAAACAGAGGCATAGAATCAAGATCACGCAAGGTATTCGTACCACTTTATAAAACCCTAGTAAGATCACATCTGGAATACTGCAGTCAATTTTGGTCACCATATCACAACAAAGATGTAGATAGTTTGGAAAAAATTCAGAGAAGAGCAACTAAGATGATCAAAGGCCTGGAGACTAAAACATATGAAGAACAGCTGCGGGACTTGGGTTTGGCTGGTTTAAAGAAAAGAAGAAATAGGGGAGACATAATAGCAGTATTCCAGTATTTGAGGGGCTGCCACAAACAAAGCGGGTCACACAAAGTGGGTAATGTTATTCACCAAAGCACCAGAGGGAAGGACCAGAACCAATGGTTGGAAACTGATCAAAGAAAGAAGCAACCTGGAAGTAAGGAGAAACTTCCTGACAGTGATCTTGATTCTATCCCTCTGTAAATGCAGCCTAGCACTGTGTTGACTTTTTTGGCTTGATTTGGGTTGATTCCTTTCATACCTCTGCATGGCATTATTGTTACAATTTGCACTTTTGATGAATTGTCATCCTTCGTACTGTACTATTAATCCTCTAATTGTGTTATGTTCTCAAAGGTCAATTATTTTATGTTGGGTAGTCTTTTATTTGCTAAAACAAACATTAAATTATGTGGCACAGATTTATTGTCAGATTGGCATACTTTTTCACAGACTAAAAGCCAATTTATGAGGTACCTAATGATCTCCACTTAAGATATAAATGGATCACACAAAGATTTCAGGATATTTAGTTTGTAATTCTATATAGTTACCAGGAGTAAGCTCCATTACAATACTAATCAATCAGTTGCCAGTTTTAGAGAAATGCCACTTATTCACTTGCCTATTGGAAGAAAATTGCACTTATCATTGCAATGGCATAACTTGATTCTTGCTGGCATAATGCAACTTTTATCCATAAGTAATGGACCCTGTCATTATCTACAGCTTCAATCGATTGACCTATAAATTATTGGATGATGAAATTTGTTTTCTTCTGCTGGATGCCAGACTAGAAAAAAAAGCCTAATAGTTTCCTCATTACTGGAATTTGAGAACAGTAGGTACCTAAATGTATTTTAAATACTGTAATGGTTAAAAGCTGCTCTCCAGATTTTGAAACCTTTTCATTTTAATAGCAGTATTTTTAACTAGATTGCAATTGGAAGATCTAACTGCGGTTATTTCATTCTTGCTGGAGAAAAAAAGGAAACACTTGACAATGCTTTCTGTTGCCACTCCAAGTATTTTTTTGCTTTTAATGCTTTTTCACTCTTATGAAAACTTAAGCAGATGAATAATACATTATTTAAAACTCTTTTTAAAATATTAATTTTTAAATTGGGAAAGAGCATTATTATATAGGTACATATCAAATATCTATAAACGTGATGTGTTTCCACTCACTCTAATTAATCACTGGTTCTATTTTATCCTCTTCGGGATCCTTTCTTTTATAAACGATAGTCTGAGTTAATAATGTTGTCTGTTCCTGGGGCTTTCACTACTTCCCCAAGGCGTCTAGCGACAATAAATCTCTGTAAATTTATAGTTGGTGCATCTCTTATTATTAAAGCTTACGTGAAATACGCCAACCCTAAAACAGCATACAATGAACAGCAGACACAACAGCTGTAGGTGGATATTCAAACCAAAACCCATTTAAGAATATTTCCCCGCCTCCAGTCGCGTCTGTATTTTAACCAAAACAACATATTTCTTTTAAATAAAATCACTGGAAAAGAGGCGATTGTGTATTCAAATCAATACAACACGCAGCCGCAGAAAAGCGCCTTCTGTGAAAGGATCTCGAAGAGATTGCGTATTTTTAATGTAGTTATTATGATTCTATTTGCACCCGCGAAACATCCGAGGGATAACAAAAAGTTCAAAAGTTGCGCGGTCTGAGCCTTCTGATCTCGACGCCCTGGAACGTATACAACCCAGGGTCTGGAAACAGTGCTTCTGAGCATGTACAGAGTGCTTTAGGATTAGAAGGACTGGTTTTTCTTCGGCCGGCTCTAAATTCTCTGAACCTGGAGCTCGATCTTCAGTGACCTCCGCGCGCTCCCTCAGTCACGCCTTGAGGTGGAAGAAGCCAAAGGGACCGCAGGCCGGAGTTCTCGCTGTATATAGAGAGAGACACCACCCAAGGCTCTCCCGCGCTCCAATCAGACGCGGCTGAGGCGGAGTCGGAACTGGGACCGGCCACTCGCTTTGCCCCGCTTGCGGGATGTTGGAGCTGCCTCTGAGCGCGCCGAGTCGGCGTTAGAAGGTTTTGTCGTTGTTGCTTCAGACCGGCTGAAGCCCTGCCAAGCGGACGCCCATGCGATAGAATCGCGCCTGCCTTTTGGCTCGACGGGAAAGCATCTCCTCCTCCCGGCAAGCGCCTCCGACGCAAATGGACCCTCAGCTGCAGGAGGTAAGAGCGCGCCGGGGGGGGGGTCTTGACTGCTGTCTCGCCATCTCCGAGCCGTTCGTCTCTGAGCGCTGAGATTTTCCTCTTCCTCGCCCTTTTTTTCGGGGAGGGGGGTGGGCGGGCAGGGAAAAGGCCTGGGTTCTCTTTTGACCCGGGCAGAGGTGGCTTGCTAACCAAGTAGAGGGGCCGTTCCCCTGCCGGACTTTGATGCCCTCCCACCCCGACAGCCTGCTGGACTCGATTGCAGCTGAAGGGCTGAGTAAGGTTGCCAAGGAGTCGAGGTTGGCGTCCCAGGCTGGTACGGTAGCTCCTTCCATTTGAGACGGACGTCTACCAGCTGACATTGTCAGGGGGCAACCGACTTTGCTTATCAGAGACGGAGAATATGCGTCTTGCTTTCACCTCCCTTCTTTGCCAACGTGTCCCGGTTCCTTTGCACCCTAGGCAGAAGGAGACATCAGTCTGCCTTTGGGAAGAGAAAGGAAATCTGCCCAGAGCCCTGTTGCAGAAGAGGGAAGAACAACACGTAGTCAAAGAGTATAGCTGGGTTGTGCTGTCAGCTCTTAAAAGAAAGACTAAAAGGACCTTCCCTTCCCAAGGCAATCTAAATAGCTTGGATTACAATTGCCAAACATCCCTGATAGTGTGACCAATTGAGGCTGATAGATCAGGGGTTGGAAAAGACTGCTGCAAAAGCCGAATGCTTGGATTACAAATGATATCTGATTACATATGTATACCAAGACTACAGCAGAAAACTGTTGGTTCTGGTTGAAGAGAGTAATGAAATTCTATGCTAGCAGGTTTAGGCCTAAAGAGTGGACTAGTATAATGTGTGAATCCTATGTGTGAATCATTTAGCAGAAGAAATTGCAGCTTCAGCCTAGGGCTTAACTCTAGGAGGGAATGAAGGGCATTTTATTGCCACAGTTAACCATCAGTATACAATTTGCTTCAGGCTAGAGCCTTTCTCCCTTCTGCCAGTATGCTTAGCCTGCTTTTAACAAGGAACATGCTTCTCCAGTTATGACAAAGATGGCTTTGAACCTTGAGTTGCTGGTACTTCCTGGTGACTTCATGGTCCTTTCCTGCATCTGTACATATTGGGTGATTTTACTGTGCAGATTTTTGCCTTTTGCTAGGTATGTAAAAGCTGCATCTATTTCTATGTATGGAGGAGGCAAAAAATAACCAGCAAGAGTAACTCCTTGATTCAAAGTGACTGTTGCACACTCATTTTTCCTTCTTCCGCAATTAGTGACTTTCAATTTTATGCCAGAGAAATTTCCATCAGTATAGCAGCAGAGATTTGGGGTACTGGCAGATATGTATAGATGTAGCCAGGCATGTCTATATTCTGAGAATGTGCACAGTAGAACCGTGAGACAAAAAATGATAGATGCAAAACAAATAAAGTCTACATGTGAGTAGATTTGTCTTGCCTATTAAATTTGTGAGAAAAAAACATGACAATAGGTTCCCATTCTAAGTGTATTCTCCCTGAAATACTTCATAAGGGTTTTGACAATAGTAATAGTACCTATAGTACCAATTTTATTTATTATGCACTTACAAGTAAGTGCATTACAGACGGAATTAATTTCCCAATAAACGGTCTTAGAATTGGAGTCTTCTTTTAATTTCCAGGTCGTGATGATTTCTATGTGAAACTGTCTTTTGTTTAAGAAATCCAAAAGTGGGGAAAGGCGGCACTGTTATTCTAGAACAGTATTTCTCGACCTTACCCATTTTAAAGATCTGTGGACTTCAAATCCCAGAATTCCCCAGCCAGTATGTGGAAGTTTATACATCTTAAAATGGCCAAGGTTGAAAAACATTGTTCTCCAGCATCCTTGGAACCATGGAAGCCATGCCACAAACTGTTTTGTGCTTTTTAGATTTATTTCTGTGCTTCTGAACTAAGATGTTTAGCCAGGCACCCTTGAGTACAGGCTAAAGTTGCCTTCCTCAGTCTGATGACTTTAGTTCTGATGGAAACGGTAATCTCGGAGTTGAGGAACCAAGGGTTACCAGGATTGGGAAAGGCTAGACGCTTCTACTGCTGTGCAGCTGCTTAATTGGCTTCATGCTCCATGTATCCTGATGCCCATTTACCTTTTGTGGTCTGCCTGAAGCCATTTTCTCCAAAGCTTTGACTTGGTCGATTAATTCAATCTACATACTCCCAAAGCTGCAGTCAAGAGCTTAACTTATACAACAAGGTCTATCTGTGGGACTTCTTTGTGTCTCTTGATCCTAGCCCAGAAGCTGTCCACAGTAAAACAAGAGTTGGTGGTAACCTTGTTGTGATTATGAGGCAGGATAGTGCAGTCTTTGTTTATTGGCGTTCACCTTCCACACAACAATAGTAGGTCCCTGGGCAATATAATAATGTATAGATATAGTTCTCTCTTCTTTCACAGAAAGGAAGGGGCCCAGCTGCTGTATCCAAGCCAGATGACTTTCTAGGGGAAGAGCTGATGGGTTTGGAGGCTTCTTTGGTCTTTGGTTCCCCTTGATTAGTCCTGAGGGGTTCCCATCTTGGTTCCTTTCTCAGCCATTAAGCTAAGTGTATGAGCTGCCCATGCATTAGTGGAACAGGAGCAGATAATGAGTTTAAGTGGTTACTCTTTGCTCAATCTCTTTTGGTTTACTTTATCCAAGCATCTGCTTGATTTTATGGAGTCTACTTCCCCATCCTCACCCAACAGGCTGTGTCTGTTGTTGCCTCCCCCAGATTCTCTTCCTGAAAAATGTAATTAGGAGCTGCTACATACTTTTAACTGATTAACCTAATCTGTGCAGGTCATCTGGTGCCTGACTGTAATTGTAAGAAGTCTTGATTTGCACGAGAGCATCTTCACCCTGGCTTCTCTTTCAATAGCTACTATAGCCCTTGGGAAAAGGTTGGAAATACGGATGGGTAATAACAGGAGCAGCCCAGCCTCACGACTGGCTTCTACTATTTTATATCCATGATAAGTTTTTTTTAACCTTGATAGTTAATGAATACAGGTAGTCCTCAACTTACCACCACAGCTGAGTCCAAAATTTATGCTGCTGAGTGAGACATTTGTTAACTGAGTTTTGCCCCATTTTACAACCTTTCTTGCCACAGTTGTCAAGTGAATCAGTGCAGTTGTTAAGTTAGTAACCTGATAGTTAAGCGAATCTGGCTTCCACATTGGCTTTCCTTGTCAGAAGGTTGCAAAAGGTGATCACATGACCGGGGACATTGCAACAATGATAAATATTGCCAAGCATCCTAATTTTGATCATGTGATCATGGGGATGCTGCAACGGTCGTAAGTGTGAAAAACAGTCCTAAGTCATTTTTATCAGTAGAGTTGTAACTTTGAACAGTCACTAAATGAACTGTTGTAAGTGGAGGACTACCTGTATATACTTTTCCTTCTCTCTTTGTCTGTGTGGAACAAACCCTAGCTATTTTACACAATCAGTGACCGAACCAGGACTTTCTTGTAACCTACACACTTGATTTTTGTGACAGCTTCTTTCTTTGGATTAACTCCTGATTGAGAAGTGTAGGGTCTAATAGGTGGAACATCTGAAAGGGAGCAGCAGTCTAGGTCAAATCGGCAAGAGTATCTGCTGCATATCTTTTAGCCTGATGCATTTTGCCATGCCAAAGAGCAGTAGATTTCATTTCTCTACTCTGATCTTCCCTGCTCTGTGCCTCAGCTGGTCCCTGGAGTGCCAGGGTATCATATGTGAGGCTATACTGTATATAATTTTGCCATGTCTTTCATCTCATAGTAAGGCATGATGATGGCCAATTTATACCTTTTAAAAAGGGAGGGGCAAAAGCACTGAATCCAGGATATTAATGTATGAAGTACATGATTGCTTGTTGAGCGTAGAAAGATATCCTGGGAATTATGATTTTTATTGTTAAACCTTTATTATTTTATATTTCTTAGCTTAGTTATTTTGTTGCTGTACAACATATTATCGGACTAAATCCTAGCATAAATCAAGACAGGTAGGTAATCTAATGGCTTAACTTTGTACGTTTTAAATAAATTGCATTTTTATTGAATAAAAAGCCCAAATTGCCAACAGAAATACCTATTAAAAAAACCTCATATAATAAAAACAATAATGGAAAATTTAAACAGAAGAAAAAACCAAGGCCAATAAGAAGCAAAATATAAGAGACAAAGAAAATCACCGTCTAAAATCAATTGCATTTTTTAAAATTGATATGGCCAATCATTAACAAATATTCTTTAATTTGTAGCGTTTACTATGGTGCTGAAGATCAAGGAATGAAATGGCAAACCTTTTGAGGGATGGAGGTTCCAAAGTCTTTTGTGTTCAGTGGCTGAAAAGAGTCCATTCCATATCTTCCCTTGAAGCTAAGCTTCAGCTAAGATTGCAGAGAACAGATAGATTCAAAAAGAGAAGGTTGGGGCTAATAATATAAGTTCCAATGAGAATATTTAGAAGGATGGTCAGATAAGCAGGTTGTAATGAATGGGCAGAATAGAATCAATGGATGTTGCATTTTGATTAAAATTGGACTGGGAATGATAAGACCAGATTTAAGTCCCACCTAACCATAGAGCTCAGTAGGTGACTTTGGGCCAGTTATGATCAATTGGGTATAGCAGATAGTGGCATCTGGCCAACTATGGTTTAACATCAAAAGCAAAGCAAGGTTGAATCTAGTTAGTACTTGGAGAAGAGACTAAAGGTTAGAGAAGAAAGTCAAAAAAGCATCCAGGAATGGAAAGCTATTTCCATATTGTTAAAAAAAAATCACTCTGAATTGAGTTTGACTTGAAATAATCTCCACATTTTACATTTATTTTCTAGCAACCCAAGTTTTCTCACAGAGTCGTTGATATGAAAATAACATTAGAGGAGAATAACCCCCAGCCCATGTGGGTATCCTTAAACTCTCAGAGTCAAGTTGGGAAATGAATGTGATAACTAAAACAAGTATAATGGACTAATCAGAAATACACTTGGTGAAGTGG